CAGCTTGCAATATGCGACAAAGTTCAACAGCGAATGTAAAGAAATAACTTCCGAAGTACAATATTCAAAAATGCCGTACAAAACATTGTGAAATGCGTAACGAGCAACAGGGCCACACTAATGCCACCCACTTACATTGTAACTGATGTGTGTCCCATTTTCAGATAGAAGCAAACTCACGCGATACGAGGAATTCCTGCAGTGACTTTCAGGATTGCATTGTGTACAATGAATACAAGTTCGGATCGGGCTTATTAAAAGCTTCTCTCCAGTGACGGCGCAGCGCGGAACTTCTGAATCAAATGTGCTACATGATGATCGTAATTGAATCTCTTAGGCATCTCTTTTTCCTTTCTCGTTATCGCTTACGGCCTTTTTTTGTAGAGAGAAAGTTATATAATGCTGCGCGAAAAAAAAGAAGAGAATGTTTGTCATAAAAACTCTTATTACAGAGTCCTGGCAACGAAATAGACGATAAATTCTCTTTTTAAATTTAGAAAAACTATTAGTGCAAAAATAGCACGAACTTTCTCGCTCGTATTTTCACCTAAAATTACGGGAAAAGTACTCAAATTTTCGAAACATTATACATGACCTTATTTCAATTGCCATTTAGGTTGAGGTTTTACTGTTCTTTAATGTTTCTAACATAATATTTCCGTTCCACTATCAGAAAACAGAAAAATGAAGAAAATTTCCAAAAAATGTACTTTGGGCGGCGATAGATAGCAGCTGGCGAGAGTATTTGATAATTTCGTATAGCTAGCCGAGACCAAAGGAAATACAAAACTAATGAGATGGTCTGTGCCATTCTGTAGCACCCCTAGTTTAATTCTTTTGGTCGTATAATGCTAAATGAACTGAATAACATGCCATAAATGCCACTTTGAGGTATTCCGTTGCTTTTTCAAAAATTACAAAATTTTTTTTTACATATCTATTGTTGTCACTATTTATATTACCGATATTTCTTATACATTTTCGCATTTGTGAGTAAAATTTGTTATATAATTACTCACGAAGTTTCTTGAAAAATCAAACTTTTGTGTGAAAATGACTCTTCAAAAAGCGCATTTGCAGAAAGTCTCAAACGACATTTTCTTTTTTAAGCGGCTCAAAATTTTCCAATCAAAATGTATACCTAGGACGAGGTTTGCCCTTAGACAACATTCCAAAAATCCTAACTTTAGGGGAGCGAAAAATTGAGAAAATGAAACAAAGTGTTTTAGGTGCCAATAGACGACAGCTGTGAAGAGGGTCGGATAAAAAAAAAACAAAAGAGAGCATAGACTGAAGAGATAATGCAACTAACTAGTAAGAAAAAGTCTGTGCCATTGTAGTGCACCACTAGTTACGTACTTTGTGAATCTTCATTTACAATATCGTAGGATGACATTAAGGATTAATGATCGTGTTATGAAAAGAGAAATCTTCTTAGAACATCAAGTGAATACTATACTATTGAATTGCAGTGTGAACGTTGTTATTTCTTCAATACCTTCCATGCTTGTCTCGTGAAGAATGTCTTAACAAGTGTATTTTACTCAAGTTATTAGATTTATTGAAAAACCCAAAACCAATTCATTTAGGGGGAGACAACATTCAATATATTCTTAGTTCTTCTCGAGATGCACTCAATTTGTTTTATCAGATGCCAATTCATTCACTGGTGCATCATATGAGGAATAAGTAAATCTAATATTTCAAGTTCTGATAGATTATATGTTGTTAAAGAGCAAAATCACAGATGTGGAAGGGAAAATATCGAACGAATGTGATAACTCATGAACAAAAAATTCAAGAAATACTAGAAGGATTTTGCTGAAAAACTCGCATAAGCTGATTTACCGATTCGTAGGTATCATTTACAGAGATAACGTTAGGGGACTATTGAGAAGGCCATATATCTATTGGCGATAACGATGAAGATAAATATCTCAGATGGTCCAGATGGCGAAAGCGGTTGGAGCGTGTACTTGGAAGTCGAAGCGGTGTTTGAAACTCGATATACAGATCTGGGTAAAGAGATCGCGGGGCCTAAAAAGCGGAATCTCCACTGCATTTGGATGGGAAGCGCGTGTAGCATGTATAGCAAAATCGCCTCCTTCCGCTGCGGCCGGGAGGTATATCCTATATCCATGTACTATATCCATGTGTCCGCAATTACAAATTTAGATGTACCATTGAACCATAAATGAAGCTTCACTACGCGCTCCTTTTTTGAGCTAGTAGTGGTAGGAGTCGAGCAAAGGATGAGTTTCTATGTTGTTAGCATTGCTGAAAAATCAAAACCTGCAGTTCGTTTACCGAAGAAAATACGTTTTGCGTAACTCGGAACGAAAATGTCTAGTTTGTCAAATATTGCTGATCTCTTGGGTTTTAAATTTTATTATGATTTGTTTCGTTTGAGTTTTAAAAACTTTTATTCATCTTTCAAAAAGATATGTCTTGAGCCTAGAACTCCAAGCTTTAAGGGTCGCAAATAGTACGAGACTTAATCATTTTGTATAGTAGACAAGATATAATATTCAAAACCAGATTTAAACTAGTGCTACAACAGCACGCTCTTCCTCGGATCAGAATCGGCTGAGTAAAATTATAACACAGCAATTTTTGGCTGTATTAACTCACCTCAGCTATTCTAGGCTGAGTTGTGTTACCCATGGTAACGCATTAGGCGCGAAAATGTTATTCATTTAAAGCTAATATATCAAAACATTAGGCACAAGTCCGTTCCATTCACCCAGGAACTCCGACCACCGCTGAGGAGTTATTCTTAGACTTTCTAACTGCTGATTTGCGGGGTTCCCATTTTTGAATTGCAATTTTATAACTTCTGAAGGGTTCTAGCAAATACAATGCGGAATATTCAAATCTGCGATTTCGAATATTAGCAAAAATTACGCCAATCTGTTAAAGAAAATTACGTGTATAACTATTTAAAGATATAATTTTGAAGAACACATATCATTAAGTAAACTAGTGGGACCACAATTGCACATATTTACTCGCATTATTTCTAACTTTTGAAATTTCGAAAATGCAGTGTTCAACGAAAGTGAGACATGCGCCAATCTTTTGAGAGCCACTTGTTTTAGTAGTGGAAAATATTGAAGAAAAAATTGGAGCGGTTTTTGAGGTAAAAAATAATTTGTACTGACATCGAACAGAAATTGATCGAAAACTACTATTTTTTTCAGAACAATGTAATTGATCTTTTTTAAAGATCTGATATTTAGCAAAATTATATTTAAAACAAAAATATATTTTTTCACATTAGTAGTTTTCAAATATTCCCTTTTTGCAATTTTGGAAAGAGAAGAGTTCGCTGAATATGGGACTAATGTTAATTTTTTGTCATTCCTTGATACAAACGAAGAGAAAATTTAAAGAAACAACTAGTGCCATTTTTTGAGGGGAAAAATTCATTTAAAAAATATTGCTTACGCTTTACGCAAAAACTACTCATATTTCCGAAAAATTGAACATGAACAGTTTTAGATGAGCACATTTCATTAAGAAAAAATGTGTATCTTCATTAGAGTAGTTGTAGAAAGACGCGTAAAAAATAACTATGACAGACGGACGGAAGGGCAGACTGACTTTTACCATAAAGTTTTCGGTATCAACAAACCCAAAAACATGTATTTGCACCTCACATCGTATTAGAGGAAGTAATTTCCTGCATCTAGGAAGCTTTATCCACTTTCTCGTTACTAAGGTCCGGCAATACGAGTTTTTTTTGTCGAAAAATCGACGTTGCCCTGCAGCATTACAATACTTTCTCTATATTACGTAAGCAATTTGCGAGAAAGTAAAAATGATATTATAATGAAAAAACAAACAAAATCACCCCAACAACAACCCACACCCACGTAATACACAAGTATAAAAATAGATAAAATGTGACCATCTCTACTCCGTACCTAAAACTTCACTTTAATGTGACTTTGGTACCCAGGCATTTTTACATTAATGGTAAGTATGGGCACCGCCCATGGATAGAATGGAATAAAATAGCTGTTTTTCGCACCTGGGAAACAAGCATGAGCATCCTTTCCTCTAGCACGGCGTGTTAAAGAAACATATCTAGAACACGTAATGTACTGAGAAAGTCAATCACCGCTGTCATTTTCTGCAAAGATCAATTGGCAGAAAATACGCAATTGACAATTTTAATAAGTAGCCCTACCAAGAAATGTATTTCACTAGGTGTCGGTAAACGCACCTTGGCTTATCCGCAATGAGCAAATTCAGAAAGAACTCTCTATAAGACCAAACAATGGATAGACAGACTCTCCACCCGATTCTATACTAACCTACCATCCTGCCCTGCAACCCGAAAATTTAAATTTGGTTCCATTTCATACCCGTATCAACGAATTGAAAGTCGACTTTCCAAAAACTTACTTCGTCCTCCGTAAAATAACAGAAGAGAAAGCAACAATACAAAAAACAATAACTTAGAAATAAATTCGAGAAGCTATAGGACCCTTCTTGGACACTCCTCTGTACTTAAATAATATTTGATTGTAAGATAAAAATGTGTAAAAAATACCGTATGTTACGAACTTTATACGGAAACAATATGCATGATTCAAAATCTTGAAAGACCTATCAGGCCGAATAAGGATTAATAAAAAATAAAATAAAATAATAAAAATTTTAAAAAACGCGTGGTGTCTATTTCGAATGTTTCGTTGATGTTTTTTTGTTGTTTTTTGTAAACATCCCACAAACGTTGACAGACGAAACTATCACTAAGATTTCATATAGGTTCTAACGATAAAAGTCCTACATAAAGATGAATCTATATTTCCTCACGTAAACAATAGAAGAAAAATCTACGCCGTGGTCTGTCGTCGGCACCCCTTCCTCCCCACCCCCTCACATACACACACTTGGTATGTAACAGTCAATGGTCCCCGAACGGACCAGGTGAATTATTTCCTTTGTATACGAGGCCTCTCGGCGCGCGGACGCGCGAAGAATGCGCTTACGTCTCCGGCGCGCAGTCCAAGTGCAGCGTCGGCAGGCCGGCGTCGTCCGCGCGGGACTCGGCCGCGAGCAGCGGGGGCCCCGTGGACGCCACCATGCTTCACGCCGGACTCGCGTAGCTGCTGGTGAGGGTGCTGCGGCTAGCGGCGGAGGCGGTGCGGCTGGTGCAGTCGCGGCCGCGGGCGAAGAGGAACTGCCGGCACGCGGCCGGTGCCCCGCCGCGGCGGCGTCTGCCTCGCGGTGGAGAGCGGCTCACGTGACCAGACAGCGGAAAGCGGCCCGCGCGGGGGCGACGGCGGCGGAGGCGACGACGACCCAGTGGCCTGCACAACAGGAAGACAGGTAGCCACCAACACACCTTCGGGGGGCTGCAGGGTCCACAGGGGAGGAATGTAGGTTGCGGGCTTTGAAATTGCGTCAAGACGCTTCCGTCTGCCCAGAGTGTTTGTGGCGAGGTGGAAGGACTGGACGATTGCGCGGAAGAGCAGATCTCTGGGTCGGAACCTCGCCCAATAATACTAAGAATAATGATGTTAATAATAATAATACTAATCATTATTATTATATTATTATATTATTATATTATTATATATTATATTATTATATATTATATTATTATATATTATATTATTATATTATTATATATTATATTATTATATATTATATTATTATATATTATATTATTATATTATTATATATTATATTATTATATTATTATATATTATATTATTATATTATTATAAAATTATTTAATAAATTTTAATTATTTTTTCTTTGTTTTTAAGGATAACAAAAAATCAATTGCCGATCCGGTGGCCGAGATCGCCAAGGCAGTAGTGCCGTAGTGATCTCGGACCGAAGAATCGCGGGTTGTAGTCCCCGCCTGGGGCATGGTTGTATTGTAATAGTCGTTTCACCCCTTATCATCAACTCATCAACATATTGTGTCATCCTTACAGTTACCATACCGTTACAAACAATAGTGGTCGCTAAAGACCTTAATGATCTAGAAGGTGATGCGACCTTAAATAACAAAAAACCTGAACTTTGACAGCACTTTACCCCACGAAATTATAACTGCAAAATATAAAGTGAGACTCGTGTGTCATTGTCAGAGTGCCAAGAATGCTTTTATCTCTGATCTTCACTAGCATCTTGATCACGATGACGAAGTTTTTCGACAGGAATAGCCTATTTGAATAATAATGCTGTGAACCACGATACATAACGTCCATGGCGTACAAATCAATTAGTGAAACGAACACTGAAAAACATTATAAGCTGGTTATTTGTCGCAGTGTGACGATTCTGACGAAAAAGGGTAATTGAGGTAGAGTAGGCCTGGAAAAAATGTCGGTCATTAAAAGAGACTTTTTTGTGAATTGAAAGTAAAATGAAACAAAAGAAGAAACAACGTAAAGTTCGTGTAAGTTCCTCCGTGCGCGCTGCACACTCCCAACTTGAAAATACACATGTAGACGAACAGTGGCGTAGCGCGTCACACTCAAATGGGTAGACAGCCGAACCAAGGAATATATTTGTCGAAGTTTTTATCTCTAAATAGCGTAACTTGAGGTTGACACTTCCTCAATCCCTGTATTTTCAGCTTTGGTGCGTTCTCTCAATTTCGTAAAATGTATCAATGCATATTATTGGTAAAACATTACAAACATATCAAATTGTGTGTATTTCTGAAATAATGATTCTAAACAAGGGAAAATCAACAAAAAAGGATTATGTAATAGAGAATATTACGAAAGACGCTCTCTGTCTATTCTACGAACTTATTTTTCTCCGAAGCGTCACGCATGATTCCGTGCTGAAGAAACGGGGGAAGCACTGCCAGCAACCAATAGGCAATGTATTGGGGTCAGCACTAGAAATGCGAGGTCGCCAAGAAAACACTGATGTATCTAAACATCGATGCTTGTTAACAAAATAATGCACAAACCGCTCCCAACTAATATAATTAAATTAATCCGAATAAAAAATAAAACACGAAGACTTTGGAATTCTCTAAGAATTCCTTCTTTAAAAAATGAACTAAATCTGTTAAATAATATATGTAAAAAGGTTAAAAACAGATATAAACTAGAAAAATACAATTCATATATCAATACCTTAAATACTAAAATCAACTCTGTATGGCAGTTAACTAAGAAACTCGAAAAAGAAAACGTATTCCCCCATTAGCAACTAGTGATGGTAAGAAAATATTCCCCAATGGAAAAAGCTGAAGTACTGGCCTCCCACTTTGTTGACACTTTCACCCCCAATAACACCACCAAAGATCCGAAACACGGCGAAATTATTACAATGTTCAATGCTCCCCTATATGATGTTCCAGACCAAATGCAATTCATATCCCCTAATGAAATAAGAAAAAATAATAAAGGATATTGTGACGTAGTGAAATAAGAAATAAATTTCAATAACAAAATAAAAATAATATATTCAAAGATTATGTACAAGTTACAATGAATTGCTAATTTTAAAACACTCCGGCAACCTTTTCCTTTCAGAACACTGCTTTACCGCAGAAAACACAAGCCACGCGTGATGCGCGGTGTCGGACCTCGGTCCCGTGACAATTACCGTCACATGGCCTGACGCCAAAATTTAACCCGGTCGTGGCGACCGTGTGCCTACAGCACGCGAGATCGTCTGGCCCTTACTCTCCGGACATCTCGCCCCCACTCCTACACCCCTTGTACACATACGTACAAGCTTCGCGATGCAAAATGAATGAGAGCGCGGGCGCAGATGGCGCCGCGTTAAATAGTTGAGGCTGACACCCCCACCACTGTTCCATAGATAGACTCGCACTGGCGCGAGGCTCGCAGGCCAGCCTTTGGTTTACGCCCACACACAGAATTCTCAGGTTGGCTGCCTGCTTCCGTAAACGAGGTTCGCCGGCAGCATCCTCGGAGTTTACAGCCTCCGGTATTTTTGGCTCTGCGGCACTACCTGAGTCAACCGCCCGAGCGCAAACCCCCGGATTTTCAGGCTCAACCCCTTCCTCCCCCGCAGCGTACTTTCACCAACCTAACGGTTCTGGCCCTCGTGTTAACGACGCCACAATATGCCAAATAAAAAAGCACCAGGCCAAGATCGAATCAACACAATCATTTTAAAAAATCTATCGGAGAAATCCATTGCTTTTCTTAATAATATTTACAACTATGTATTGAGAACAGTATATTTTCCCCAAACACGGAAATGCTCAGTCATTCACCCAACAGCAAAACCAAACAAGAATCACTGAAAAGCAGAGAATTACAGACCTATCAAGTCATCATTGGCTTCAAGTCACAATACTCAACCACCCACTAACTACTAAGGCTTACGGAACACATTCACACTGCATTCCAAAGGCACAACAAATCATCGCTTCATTCGTAGACATCTCGCAAGCATTCGACAGAATATGGCATCCAGCTCTCTATTTTAAATTAATTTCAATAGGTACACTCAATTATCTAATATTTGTTATCCTTAGCTATATAACAAATAGAACATTTTCAGCATCAGACGTAGACCACTGCTCCAATCCAAGGAAAATTTCTGCTGGGGTTCCCCAAGGTTCACTACTTTCCCCCCTGTTGTTTAATTTCAATTCAACGCAGCTATATTCCTACTCGCGCACAATTTTTACCTTCCTCTAATTCAAGCATCATCCTTCTATAAACTAGGCAAAACTCCCAATTATCAAATGAGAAATAACAACAAATATCCCATCCCTTCATTTTATAAAATGTTCGCAAACCTGGAATAATACTTACTTGAGGTGCTTCCTATTTCCTCTCGCAGTATATTTTTAATGTTATTTTTATCTAATTATAATGTATAATTTTATGTTAGTGTAAGTTAGTAGACGATATATTAAGAACATAGAACATTTGCACAGTTAATATGTAAACTGAACAACGTAATGTCTACCAAAAATAAAATTACAATAAAAAAATACATTGATGCTCAATATGAAACCATCGATGTTAATGAAACATCGAAACAAAACCATCGACGTTAATAAATATTGATGTTTAAAAAATATGATTATTAACCATTGAAATTCGCGGGGATAAGGGGATTTAATTTGAAAGCGATATCGTTAATTAATTTATATTGAGATTTAACTGACAAAACGAAGTCAAAAAGTAATCAGTTTAATTAACACACGTGGATTACCTTACTGACTAATTAAAAAATAATAGAGGCTTCTTAATTGACGAAAACTTGATTTTATGTATTTATCACCCATTGTCATATTGGTCTGATGTTTATGTCTGTTTAATTTATGGTTATCTAACATGTATTATGATTTTATAAAGAAACATCGACGTTTTGAAAAACATCGACATCAACGTCGCATCCCTCGTCGAGCTCCTGGGCTGAAATACAGTTTTCTCTACAATTGGGCTTTGTTAGTTGGGGTGGGGGTCGGAGCAAGTACATTTCCGAGCCCCTCTGTACCCACCGGAGTTCCCTTTACTTTAACCTTTTTATTTACAAGTGACATATTTTACCAGTAATTAAATAAATTGAAAATCATGAATATAACACATTAAAAAAATAAAATATTCTAACACGTAGGGTTTGTCGACATTTTCAGGAGGCCATGCCCCCCTCCCCCGCCCCTGTGCGCGCGCCTATTAAGTGATGTTCAGCACAACGGATTCAACACTCGTCACATCCCGAAAGAGAAATTCCTTTCAATGAGGATTGCTGAAATGATGCAACTTGTAAGTTACTGTTAAATCCCTTTGTAAATTTTCTTCGAGAAAGATTGTCTTGCATAACATGTATGATAATAGTGATAATAAAGATAATAATAATAATAATAATAATAATAATGATAATAATAATAATAATTCATTGCCAATCTTCAATAAATTCAGTTAATTGGTAGGATTTTTTCACGATTTTAAAAGATAATTAAAACATTTTGGAAAACATTAGAAAAACTCTATTGACTACAAAGATTGATGCATCGAACTAGCTCCTTGTTAAAGCTTATAAAGTAAATTAAAATGTTATTAGTGTGCGAACAGAACTATTTACGCACAGAAGTACGTAGGTTTCACATACCCTAAATAAATAAATATGAAATAAATAAATATTAAATGAATAAATATTAAATGAATAAATATTAAATGAATAAATATTAAATGAATAAATATTAAATAAATAAATATTAA